TACAAAGAAAGGTTAGAGATATGTCGTTGTCTTCTTACCTCAGCCCGACACGCCTGCTAGAAGGCTATCTCCGCCGTTGCCTCACGGCGGCAGGACTAACGACGCAGTCTCTTGCCGTAGACTCTGACACAACTATCCACTTTTGGGGCCCACCACCTCTAAACAACCGCATGGACGACGAAAGACCGGTGATGCTTCTCCTCCACGGTTTCGGCCCATCAGCCATGTGGCAGTGGCGGAGACAGATTCAAGCTTTCTCTCTGACCATTTTCCGGCTATATTGTCCCGATCTTGTCTTCTTCGGCGACTCTACTACTTCCTCCACCAATCGCTCCGAGGTCTTCCAGGTATAAAAAGCTTATATATGGATGTTTTGACTTCACATATTTCCCACTAGATTTTACCGACCGAACATACATAGCCTGAAAATTTGAATAATTTGGACTCATTTCTAACGAAAATAATATCTGGATTAGGATATTAGTGTGAAGTTTTTTTATTTGAGAATTGGTATATAGTCATTTGATTTTCTTTAAAATTATATTTTTAATATTGTGAAGAATTTATTAGGATCCTACAATCCATTATGCTAGTGCTTTTAAAACCGGATCACAAAACGAAGGAGATCATCTTTAGGTTGATCGGCTTTTGAACTAGTAGAACCTTTATGTCATTAACTCATTCTTGATCAGTATTGCCTTTTGGTCACTTGATTATATCCAAAAGATTTTAACTCATTTTTGGTATACTAAACACATATCTTAACATATATAAAAAACCAAAAAAAATTAGGCAGAGTGTATGTCAAAGCTGATGGAGAAAATAGGAATAGAGAAGTTTAATGTTGTTGGAACAAGCTACGGTGGATTTGTAGCGTACCACATGGCAAAAATGTGGCCGGAAAAAGTGGAGAAAGTTGTGATTGCTAGCTCCGGGATCAACATGAGAAAGTGTGACAGTGAAAGTTTATTGCAAAGATCGAATTGTGAGTGCATTGAGAAAGTTATGTTACCATCAACTGCAACAGAGCTTCGAACACTTATGGGTTTAGCATCTTCTTGGAGGCTTGTTCATATGTTCCCTGATGCTCTCTGGAACGACGTTATTAGTGTAAGTATCATTGTAATGACATATATAGGTCATATTCTTAGTTAGTGACATTTTTTTTTCAAGCAAAATTTTGATACTAATTAATTCGGAAAAATGATATTAATTGGATTTGTATAATTTTATGTAGAATTTATACCAAAAGAATAGAAAAGAGAAGATAGAATTATTGAAGGGGGTGACTCTAGGCAGGGAGGAGAAATTAAACATCGATCCTCTTTCTCAGGTATGTGTGCTTCTTTTTTTCTCTAAAACGTAATATTTTTGTTTTGTAGCCACACAAATTTGTATTTCAAATGTAAAAGACATCTAATAGAAATATGGTTAACTAAAATGCAATTTATCGGATTAACGTTACGTGTTTTTACACTCTTAGGAGGTCTTGATAGTATGGGGAGACAAAGATCAAATATTTCCTGTGAAGATGGCTTACGAACTAAAAGAGTAAGTAAAAGTAGCTAGATATCTTTTATGTATTTCAAGTTTTTTTAACGTCTACTAAAAGAAATTGTTCTTAAATATAAAGTATGTTCATTTTGATGCATAATTAATGCTCGGTATTCTTTTATGTAGGATTATTGGAGACAAAACGAAACTAGAGATCATTGAGAACACTTCACATGTTCCTCAGATTGAATGTGCGCAAGAGTTTAACAATATCGTTTTGAGATTTTTGAATGGATCTCAATAACGGCAATCATATATTCGCGACATGATTCTTACTAGCTTTACTAAACAACTAAACTATTACTCTCTCTGTTTC